TACCCAATAATGGGTAAAGACGTTTTACTCGTTAAATGAGTTTATCTACTTTCCCCATAAAAAATTTGACAGATGGGGAATTTCACTGTCGACCGGCGAAATCAGTTGTATACAAAAAAGGCCTATTAATAAACCGACAACGTCGGGATTAGTACACTAGTTATTTTTGTTAACATATTCGTTAATGTATTAAATCGGATACCTCAGGGACCGACAGCCAAAGATTTTATCTATTGTAAAATCTGGCAATTGTATGTTTTTTATCGGTGTTTATTTTATTGTACGTATTACAGACGAAGTCGGTTTACGTAGTGATTACATAGTGGCAGTTACACCATAGAGGTAACTTAGACTAGACAGGTTAGACTAAGTGAGTGCAACTTTATTATTAAATGTCATTGCAACCTGGTAAGTATAATAAGTATTAATATTTTTGTTTTTTTTTTTTAAATCTTACAATGGCAAGCAGGTGGAGTACTTGGCGTAATAAGTATGTAGATTTAGTATATTTTATTTGAGGAAACAATTGGGTTCTTTAATTTTGAAAAACATGTCGGGTTTCATACATCATCTGAAAGGGTGTCGTTTTCTGAATACAACGATATTTTTTCGATCCCATTTACTTCCATCTCAATTTTTAAATCAAGATTTAAAGCAAAATAATCACTTCACTGTTTGACACAAAACTAACAAACTGACAGTTCGTTACTTTACAGTACCATCGAGGGCCGCTAAGAAGGTGATTTTTGCTAATGTATTCACACTTATTTAAAATAGTTCTAGTGCTCCAAAGTTTATGAAATTTTGAATTTCGATTCCATTTGTAATGCAGATTACGAATATGCAATTACCTCAATACCCCTAAAGAACTCAATTTAATTACCCGATTAATTAGTGTATTTCATCAGGTTTCATCAATTGCATAAGCCGATTTAACAGTTGACTTAATCTTTTCCATAGTACAAACAACTGAATGAACCGATTAACCACTCTATTTCGTATGCTGATTAATTTGTCGACTTAATCTGTTTCCACCGTAGAAACAATTTAATAAACTGATCAACCAGTATATTTCGTCTGTTTTTATAGAATCCCTGCTACAACTCTGTCATACTACTAATCGTTTGATTTGGTCACTTCTCGTTGACTGATTTCCTATGTTTTCGGCTACCGATTTCGTGTGCTGACGCGTCGGCAACCTCCCCTTAAGCAGTCCTATAAAAGTCGATGCAACAATTTATAAATACGTCGGTTTCATAGTCGGTCGATCTTACCGACGTGAACCGATTAAGTCGAAGGGAAAATCGGAAGGATTTTTTATGGGGCTACTTCGAAATGGGCACTTTTTCACCCATCAATGGGTACTTTCCAGTTACAGTGTAGAGCACAAATATCATGGCTACTATGTCACACTGCAGAATACAGTATTGCCCACAATACAGTTGCTTTTGACGTTTGGCTGACAAACGATTCTCTGCAAAGTTGTAGCCGATAAAATTCCCATCAGAATAGAAATAGAATTTGTTAACAGTACAATATGTAAAAAGGCTAGAAGACAGTGAACAAAAAGTTTTGTTTTCCCATAGTTATTTCCATATAAACTTCAAATGGTTTGTGCCAAGTCAGTTTCTCACTAAATGAGTTCAAGTTTTGGGAGGCTAATCAGGGCCCAATTTGGAACCGTTTGAGTACTGTGGAGCGAAAATTTCAAATTTTGCATCAGTCTAATGACCATCCATAGAAGGAGGAAGAAGCCGCACAGCTATTGATCCGAATTAGTAGCTCTTCGTGAGTCGCTGTGGGCCATCTATGTAAAGCGCGTCATGCTAAAGAGTATAAACAGAGAGAACCCCGCTCAAATTCCTATTCCTACACAAAACACAAGCTCCTGCTGCAGTTAATAAATAAGATTTATTAGATAAGACCACGTAGTCCTACGTCACCATTGCGGACAACCTCATAGGACTGTCCCTTGTAGTTTTGTTGTTGTTGTAATGTGTTATGCGTTGTCATGCGAACGATGTCTTCAAGGAAGGACTTTGGTTCAGTGCCCGAAAATTCTCGAAAGCAGCTGTCAGTGGCTGTTGCATCAATTCTGTACTCTGTGCCGAAACACATCACGGCACACTGATCGGCAGGTTAGGGCACACTTTGACAATTAGGAGAACTGGTTCTAATGTTGGCATATGGATCTAAAAATTGGGCATATGCATACAAATGTCCTGTTTTTTAATGTCCTGTAATGATTTATCTGGACAATACAAATTGATATTTCTGGTTACTAATGAAAAATTGGCAAAACATTATAGAGCTTTGAGTGTGTTGGTTTGTTTCCTTTGAATTCCGTTATAATTGCTTATCTTTTGACAGATACGCGTATTTCGTCCACTAATTGCAGACTTCATCAGTGCCAAGTACTTAATACCACTGCGGCACTGATGAAATCTGCAAGTAGTAGACGAAATACGCGTATCTGTCAAAATATTATCAATTAATTTAAAGGAAAGAAACCAACACACTCAAAGCTCTTCATAAAAGGATTCCGCTAAGAGGTTCGACAAATTTAAAAGCTATAAAATTCTATCCTTAGAAATTCATGTATGGGCCCAATATTAGGGACACTTAGACCGACAATAGGGACACTAATCCTATGACACAGAATATCAGAAATCAGAAGATTCTATGCTTTATTGTTTGCTAAGCAACCGTGAACAATTAATTTTCCATTCCTGCTGGGGGAACCGTTCAGTACGTCAGAGATGACGACCTACCTACGGAAAATACGGTGTTGAAAAGCGTGTAGTACGGGAGAAATTTCCAGCTTCCTTGGGCCTCGATATGCTTATAGGTGTGCGAGGTCTATATATGGATTTAAAAAAGGAGATTCCTAACTCACTGCATTTCGTTAATCGGAAGGGGAACATATTCTACCAAGGGAACAATAATTTGTGTTTACTTTGTAAGACGGAGGGGCATCGGATGAATTCCTGCCCAAACGAGGTGGTAGTGACGGATGTGACGTCCAAGCGGCTGGCGCTGCTGAAGGAAAAACAATTGGCAGAAGCAAGTGAGCAAGAAGTGGCACAGATGAAAGCGGAAGCTAAACTCAAGTCACCTCTAAGGAAGAGTAAGAAGTACTCATAAACTCTTGATACTTTGATGTAATTATTAAATTATTTAATGGCTCACGGCTCCGTGGAGTCCTTTTCGAAATTTGAGCCAAACACAATTTAATAAACTATTGGAAAAAAAAACTCATGGGATACTCGATTGGCACGCACAGCGTTTTCACAGTTTCGGCACAGCTAAAACAGTCGGCATAGATTGAAGTGCGCAGAGTTGATTACCCCTAGGATCTGCGATAAAATTGCATAACGATACCAAATCGTTTATTTTTTTTCCTTGGTTTGTTTTCCGTCGATCTTGTTTTCCGTGCTGAGCACCAATGCTTCCGACGCCAGGGAGGCAGCTCCCACACCTGGACCCTACCTATCGAACTCATGAACCGGGGACCAACGGCTTTACTTCCCGAAGGAAGGCGTGATCAATGATGTTATGCCTCAGAATTGAACCCAGGCCTGCTGGGGTAAGAGGTAATCACGCTTACCACTACACCACCGGCGCCGCTAAATCATTCTTTTTTAAGGGGGGAAGTACAATTAGAATTTTTTTTTCGAAAAAAATTTTGTTGGCTATATTTACTCTATATGTATCTGGGAATGAGCCTTTAAAAGCATAAAGCCGTCCGGAACTTATTTAAAAAGTTATACGCAATTCAGTGAGTGCATGTCAAATGGCTGAACATGTCAATGTTGAACTTTAAATGCTTCTACTGAAAAGTAGTGTTTTCAAAATCGCCGTGCAATGTACAGGTCAGAGTTTTCATTCAAATCGATTCCGGTTTTCTGTTTTATGTTCATAATTAAATTCTCCACAACATGAATAGAAAGATTTTTTAGATTTGTTTGTTATAACATGTTTTTTTTATAAACAAAGTCGAAAAAATAGGGTTTTTAAATTTTTTTTCAACTTCAAATTTTTTTGTGAAAAAAACATTATTTTTACATACGAATTAATTCATGTTGTGCGCTGTACCTTCAAATTTAATGTCCTGTTTTTTTTTTGTTTCAGACGTGATCATGGACGTAGGGACTGCACGGCGCGAAGTGTTGCTTTAAAAAATTGACTTCACATTATTTATAATAATTGGGCTAAATTGCAAAATTTAAAAAAAATGTCACTGATAATTAATCTTCATTAAATCCTTAATAACATACATAAAGAATCGCTAACATTCATTTATTTCCCTACCCGCAATCCACTCTCAAAGATAGGCCTCATTTTAGGCCTTCTAATTGTACTTCCCCCCTTAATAAAACCTAATTTTAGATTCGGATTCAGCGACCCAAAATTAAGTAAAGTAAATAATTTCGTCAGACACAGTAACAATATCATCTATGTACAATAATTGTTGGGAATTGAGCGCAACTTCACCCCGTTTTACGGAACTTTAAATTAAATTTGGATTATGACGATGATCCTTTCGATCCAAAAAAGGGTTTCTGTAAAACCGGAAAATATAAATTGTTTTTTTTTTTTCAATTTGTCATGCAACAAGGTACCGCACTAATGAAATCATTAATCTCGTTAGGAGCTAGGAGGCTGCGCTGGATAGCGATGATGTTGGACGGTCCTTGTCCATGGGTATGGAATCTCTCTCTCTTTCGTGGTTTTACAAAGTGTTACCTTATCGTTACTCTGTTGCCGGGTGAAAGAGTTTAAGCTTATTAAAGTTCGTTAGACTAATTGTATGGACTGCAGCCATGGATCGGAGCAGTGCCTTCAGTGTGAAGTACGGCTGGAATGGTGTACTCTAGTTTACGTTTATAAGTGAGGATTAAATTGAAAAAGAAAAAAAAAAATAATCTCTCAAATTCTGATCATTATATCACAACGGGACTGATCAGCTATGTTCACTAACATTTTTTTTCCTATTTCAGATTCATATCGCTTCGAAAAACATCCACGACTGGTACATTGTAATTTTTAAGGTAAGTTAATACAGTTTTAACAGAATTTTTGAATCTACGATTTGACGTCGATCTTCGCTTTAAAAAACATGGCTACCAAATTATAACTAAGAAAATATCTTCGTATCCCAACTATGGGAATTGACTATAAAATACTTGTTTTACATTTAATTTTAAATCAGCCTTGATCACTTAATCACGTTATTTAGTATTCAAATGTTCAATGTCTGACATCCACCATTAGGAACCTTTACATGAATTCTACTGTATGTGTTATTTGCAATATAGTTTGACAGATCATCACAATGTCTTATTCACAACCAGCATAGGGTAGGTGAGCCAGTTTTGACACTAGTTAGTAGTTCATGTTGTATAGCAGCTATTACCACTGAATTGAAGTTTAAAGCATTGTGAATATTAAAATAGTGTTAAATGTGTTAATTTTTGATCACTATCACCGAAGACAACAAATCAATGATGAAATGATGTCTTTGCTATCACCCTAATGGTAGATTTTAAACTTCTAGCTCTAGTGCCAGTTTTGGCATCAGTTGTTCATTTACCTACGACCAGCTCCAGTTGTTAACCTTACTAATTATTTCATCAAAACATTATTCCGTTGCTTAATGGGTCAGTAAAACCACGCTGATTTTGAAAACAAATCCAAAATTTTAATCTTAAGTTCAAAAGATTACAAAAAACCGTGTTTAGAAATGATCATTAGGTACGAAATGTTTTTGTTTTAAATGACATATGTAGCAGCCATTCCATAGCAAAACGATATAGTATGTTCTCAGAATTTCGTTAAAATTAGTAGTTTTGTTCCTTATCGCAAAATATTAGAACCGTATTTTTTTATTTTGTCATTAGGGTCACCATTTCCATGTTAGGATGGTACAAAAAATCAATTTAAAAATGACTTTTTTAAACATCCACAACTATTGAACAACTGGGCCGATTTTAAAGACCAAAATCTCAAATGAAAGGCAATCAAAAATATTTTTTAGAAAAAAAATATAACGAATCTATAAAATTGAGAAATTTTATTTTGTTGTTGTTGTTGTTGTTCTTTATTTAAGACATTTAACATCCAGCGGATGCATTTGTCTCTGTGAGATATTGTATTGAATAATATTGATTGTATTTGTTTTTTATGGTTTGTAGACAGAGACCGTAATCTGTGTTTATATGTTATCTTGAAATTTGACTTTTTATACAACATATCAAAAATCAGCAATTTATTACGTTTTTGAATTATATTGTTTTGAATTATCAAGTTTTGGGTTTTCGCTCAATACTCCTATGTGACTAGACTACCATGCGTCTCCATTGATTTAGAGCGATTGTAACGTGGTCACGACGGATGGTAGTCGAGCAAAGCTGGAGATCAAATTGAAATCAAAATTTGCTGTTATGATGTAACTTATTTTGAATACTCAACTTGTTCTCATTTTGGTCGACTTAACGGTTAACACAGAAAAAAATAGAGCAATATTTTACACAGATAAATCAAAGGTAAAACTAATCCTACTTCCAATGAAATCAATTTGATAACTGATTTTGCATTTATAATGTTGAACTGAATAGCATCAATGCTTCTCACGCTGTAAGACTTGAGCTCAAATCTCTTTCTGCACAAGTCACGAATGACCTAAAATTCAAAATGAGTTTTCATTATGTTAGGAACTGCAAACTTAATATCGATTTGCATTAATTTTGTTAACCGACTTTGCTCGGGTAGTCGAATAGTTGTATTGAGCGAAACCTCAAACCTTGATAAGTTTAAAAATATGTAACTCGAAAACGAAAAAAAAAAACACCGATGATTTTTGATATGTTGTGTAAAAAAGTCTTTCAAAGTAAAATATTACATACCCGGATAAAGCTGAAGATCAAATTGAAATTTAAATTTTCTGTTATGATGTAACTTATTTTGAAAACTCCAGTTGATCTCATTTAACGGTTACTAGGTGGGGTGAAAAGTAACCTCCTTGGGAATGATTTTTTTATGTTTATTTTATTTTAATTAATATAGTCCCCTTTTAGCTCGATACACTTCGTCCAACGATTTTCCAACTTGATCATCCCATCCGGAAAGTAATTTTCCGGAAGGTATGCAAAATACTCATTTGCGGCGTCGATGATTTCCTCACGTGAGCTGATTTTTTTTTATTGATGAGCCATTTTTTGAGGTTTGGGAAGAGATAATAGTCTGAGGGAGCCAAATCGGGTGAATACTGTGGATGCGGAAGCAATTGGAACCGTAAGTCATTGATTTTAGCCGTGGTTGCGATGCTCTTGAGCGCCGGCGTGTTTTTCAAAACAAATTTTTTTTGCTTCATGTGAGGCCGTTTAGCAGCGATTTCGGCCTTGGAAGAAAAACATATATTAGAAGCGTCATTTGAACAGTGGACTAGGACTGGTAGGTTTCGAGTTTAAAACTTTGCTTACCGAAGATTTTTAATTTTTGTTTGCGAAAAAGTTAGACAAATGAATATATTATGATTTAAAAAAAAATATGCAGGCAGAATTCTTAAAACAAAAAAAAAACAAACACTAGAAGATGTCGAAGATGGAAGCCCTCTGCCCTCCGTTGGCAATACTACCAACCGGTGGAAACTAACGATTTTAAATTGGCTCACTACTTGACTAGCCTATTGGTCCCAAGTAATCGATTAACGTACCCCACTCTAGTCAAAATTCTAGTACTACACTTTGTTTGCATTGATTCGCTATGAAAATTTGACAGATAAAATGAGGGGTTCGTGGATTTTCCTATGTTTCGAGGGGTGCATCGATTAGCTTTTGACCGAAGATAGTACCGAAGCTGAGCCAAAAAGTTGAGCGCGTTTTGGGACCATCTGGTCTTATAGTTACCTTTATGGTAGTACCATACAATGAAATCACTTCAAGCGTATCCCGTTCTTATGGAGGAGGCTTATTGGATAGCGGAAGATAAAGTGTTTATTGTGTTGACTATAGTTTTACGAAGTTTTGTATAGTGAATAAGAATCCTCGGCTCTGTAAAGTTATTTCGATTGAGCCTTATCAAATACATCATTGGACAATACAAATCTTCAATTTGACAACATCAACGTGTTTTTCTTCCGCTGTGTCTAACTAGAAACGGGTAAGTCGGACAGCTACCATATCAGAGAATGTATCGTTTGTTTTTTTAATATACAATCATGGAAAAACATCTCGTTGCTGGACATGACGACTAACATTTGAAAATGGTCTTAAATGTTGAAAATTAATATTACTATTATTATTAATTCGCATTAACTTGAGGACGGCTGGACTTAGGAATAAAGGTTTTATGTGCAAATTTATCGAAAACTATGCGTAAATCCAAATAAATTATTATTTATTAAAAAATATGCAATTTCAAAAACTTGAAAATTAACAAAATAAAAAAAAAAATTTAAGCAAGTAACTAATCTACGCTCTTCACCAAATTTTAGAACATTACTTCAGTTTTCTTGATAAAAAATATAAAGATTGTGTGTTTTGAAATAATAAACGTTTCACGTTTTTTAAATACTAGTTTACTAAGTTTTTTCCTTCAGTATATTTTTTTTCTTCAAAGATAGTTTAATTACTTACAACTTCTTCTGAGATGTCATTTTCATCAATAGTATTCATATTATGATTAGTAAATCAATAATTTTCATATCGTGATTTTTTTGAAAAAATATAATCTATTTCTTTAATACGCCCTTTTCAAAAGTAACTGTGAAGGAAAAAATCATATTTAACTGAAAAATGCAACCATTGGTAGCAGCAAACATATGAGTAATTTTTCATTCCAATCGGAAGCACTTAATCGTTTGCTTGGAACCAATAGACTATAGTCAAGTAGTGAGGCAATTTAAAATCGATAGTTTCGTTGTTTCGTATTGATTGTTGGTAATGGAGCAACTTTCCAAGGTTCATGGAAAACTTGATTTTCTATGGACAACTTTCATTAGTTTAAGGTTCGGTGTTGGTCATGTATTATGGATGATTTGAAATATGTTTATGGATAATTCGTACAATTTAAATGCTCATTATTTAGAAATTTAGCGCAACGGCGCCGGAGGTGTAGTGGTAAGTGTGATTATCTCTCACCCCAGCAGGCCTGGGTTCAATCCCAGTCGGCGCCACCGGGATGTTCTGAGGCATAACATCTCTGATCACGCCGTTGGTTCCCGGTTCATGAGTTTGATGAGTCGATAGGTAGGGTCCAGGTGTGGGAGCTGCCTTCCTGGCGCGTCGGTAGCATTGGTGCTGAGCACGGAAAATAAGATCGACGGAAAATAAAACCAAACGAAAAAAAAAATAGAAATTTAGCGGTACAATTTACAATTGTGTTGCGAATTTTATATAAAATCTGGATCATATTGATATTTTTTATGGATCATTCACATTTTATTTTATGAATTTTAGAGTCCTTAGGGGTTTTAGTGGTCAAGAGGTGTTCAACTCTGCACATCCCAATCTGTGCCGAAAGTTACACGGAGATGAAAAACTACCCAAAATTAAGTACACTCAGGTCTTTTTTACACGGGGGATACGTACCGTGTAAAAAAAACCTACGAGATTTTGATTTTTCGCATGCTTAAATGTTTTTAAAAAATCGGATTTTGATGCCATTTGTAATTAAAGCATGATATGGTCCATACTGACATATTTTAAAAATTTCTGTATTTTCACCAAAAAATGTGATTTTTTTTTTCTAAGTATGCCATTCGATTACCTATAGCTTGAAGCGGATAATGTGATTGGAATCAAGTCGATAGGTTGTATCGTTGTCGAGAAATCGTTAAAAACGTACCGTGTAAATCGTGGAAAACCGTGTAAAAAAAGACTTCAGTGTACTTTTTTTTTCAATTCCCGGGTTCAGCCCAAAAACCAAAATTTGAGTAAATCGCATATAGTAGTTTCCATTGAACACCAACAAAACAAAATACTTGCTCTTAAGAATATTCTACCCAAAATTACGTTTAATTCACGTAAATTTGAGAATTTGCAATTTACTC